TGGCCAAGAAACAATTCTTTTTTTTTTTTATTTTTATTTATTTTTATTTTTATTTATTTCTAGGAGAGAGAGAGAGACAGCGTGAGCAGGGGAGGGTCAGAGAGAGAGGGAGTCACAGACTCTGAAACAGACTCCAGGCTCCGAGCTGGCAGTCAGCACAGAGCCCGACGCGGGGCTCGAACCCACGAACCGTGAGATCATGACCTAAGCGAAAGTCGGACGCTTAACCGACTAAGCCACCCAGGCGCCCCGGCCAAGAAACAATTCTTGAAGAAGCCTTTGATGCGTAACAGTGACTTTATTAAAGCTTGGGGACAGGACCTGTGGACAGGAAGAGCTGCGCTGATAACCGATTATATACTGTAAGTTTGGGAGGGGTCAGTGATAGAGTAAGTCTCTAAGGAATTTTGCAAGCAAGGTTTCAGGACCTTGAGGGGCTAGCTGTTGTTAGGAAAATGCCGTTTATTACCGTTTTGTAAAACCTCAGTCACAAGACCCTTCAGATGTACATCAAGGGGCCATCAGCTTGGAGTATGATTGCCAGCATATATCCTGGGGAGTTGAGATAAAGGAAGTTTCCAAAGAAATTTTTATATGTTAAAGTAGACTTATAGGATTCTGGGGTAGGGGGAGGGAAAATGTTAAGCTGAGATTCCCTTTTGCCCCCAGCAAAGTTCATCATGGAGGCAGTTGAGCTCCTAGAGGAAGGTCACTCTGCCCGTTTCAAGGACTTCTCAGTGGGCTATAGGCAGTAAGGGAATTTTAATTTTTCATCTGCCTTTTTTCCCACATCACCATGGCAAGCACTTAAACCCCTTTCCTTTGTCTTTGGGTAGCCAGGGGTGTCCAAGGAATATCACACACATCCCACCTGTGGGGGAGGTGGGGGCAGGGCGTGAGGTGCCGTCATTCTGTATTTTGCCCTCAGCTTGCCCCACACTCCCTCATCAAAAGCTGTGAGTGAATGATCTCACACGTAATGCTTCTTGAGTGAAGTCTCACATGATATGGAACTGAAGTTAACCACTCCAGTGTTTTATATGTTTTTTAAGCTTATTTATTTTTGAGAGCTAGACAGAGCAAGCAGGGTCAGGGGGGTTGGCAGCAGAGAGAAAGAGAAAGAGAGAATCCCAGGCAGGCTTCATGCTTTCAGCACAGAACTCAATGCAGGGCTTGAACTCATGAACCTTGAGATCATGAACTGAGCTGAAATCAAGAGTTGGGTGCTTAATCGACTGAGGCACCCATGCACCCCTCTATATGTTTTAAATGTTTATTTTTGAGAGGACTGGAAGGGCAGAGAGAGAGGGGCGGTGGGGGGGTACAGAGGATTCAAAGCTTGCTGCTGCAGAGCCTAATATGGGGCTCGAACCCATGAACTGTGAGATCATCACCTGGCCCAAAGCTGGACGCTCATCCAACTGAGCCACCCGAGGCATAGAAGCCTTTGGTCTTCCCCATTCAGATCAGCCTCCCCAAACTAAGACCAGGGTGGAGAACAGTAGAGAGTGGATGTGGAAAGGCAAACAGAAGACCATCTAGCACAGCCCACATGGACCCTGCTCTAGACATGGAGTCTTGTAGGGGAGGCAATGTCTTCGCAGGGAATTAAACTATGGAGTAAGCGCTTTCACACAGGGAAAAGGTCACACTGGAAAGAGGGAATAGGGGACGGCTTCCTTGAGCTCGACCTAGGAGGATGAGCAGAATATTAGCTGGCAGAAGAGGGAAAGGTCATCACGGGCAAAATGAAGAAATGCAAGTCCCTCCCTAGGAGTTTGGTTTAATTCACATTCACTTATGGAAAGACAGCTAATGGCCATGGTCAGAAGTGCCAGTTTCAGCAGGAGACAGCCCGTTTCCGCTTGGTCTCCTTAGCATCCCTGCCTCCTTCCTTCTCTACCCACCCTGCCTGTGCCCCTACTGCCCCCTGGTGTGGGTCTTTCCACCTTGGATTCTCACCCTCTTTAATGGAACATCAGTCTGGAAGATAAATATGCCCTTTCAACTAAAAATAGCTTGCGTCTCCTAACAGGTAACTATGAAGTTATATGGGAAATGTCTTAATCTCAAACTAAAACAAAATTCTTCCTTTTTTTTAACAGTAAATTTTCTGGAAGCAAGTTGCTTTATTTATCTATTTATTTATTTGTTTATTTCCTTATTTATTTATTTGTTTGGGAGAGAGCGCGCGCAAGCAGGGGAGAGGCACACAGGCAGAGAGGGAGAATCTCAGGCAGGCTCCACTCTCAGCACAGAGCCCAATGCGAGGCTCGACCCCATGACCCTGGGATCATGACCTGAGCCAAAATCGAGAGTCCGATGTTCAACCTAGTGAACCACTCAGGTGCCCCCCAAAATTCTTCCTTTGGAGGAAAGCGTGGACAGAGCAAGAGAATAAGAGGGGTAAAAAACGGAGCTTTGTCCAACCTGTCCCATATCTAAAAACAGTGTCCAGCACATAATAGATGCTCTAGAAACAGCAGCGAAATGCTCAGAGGCATTGTAGATGGCACAATCCAAATCGAAGTTCTGGCTGCCCCATTCATTAACTCCTCCACTGAAGACAAATGATGTCATGAGTCTCAGTTTCTTCATCTATAAAATGGAAAACCCAATAAGGCCTGCTTCACAGGACTGTTGAGAGATTTCTGCGAAATAGTCAGTCTGAAATTCTTAGTGGCAACGCCATTACCAGTCATCATAATTACGATGATTACGGACACTACCTCTCCCTGTCAAAGGCTGTGCTGTCCCTCACGAAGACCACCGATGGAGAAGCTGCGGAGAAAACAGACCTGTGGGTAACTGCAGTTTCCAAAACACTGTGATCGGTGGGCTGCGAAAAATGGCAGAACTCAAAGGGGAAAGTCATTCAGAAAAGCTTTAACCTCATCAGGTGATGCCTGACGCCAGAAGCCCAGAGGTTGTGATCTAGGACTTTGCCCCAGCATGCTTTGGGGCACAGTGGGGGGAGGTGGGGGAGGGGGTCTTGCAAGGACTGGGGCAAGAGTGGTCTGGAAATGACTCAGAGGCACTTTAAAGCCAAAGAATGGGAAAATATTCCTGTCAGCACTTCTCAGACCGATTCACATTCAACAGGGCACCGGCCTGCCTTGTGCAAGCTGAGGCTGGGCCCTATCAGTCTCTCTCTCTCTCTCACACACACACACACACACACACACACACACACGCACTACCCCTTTCCCTTCCAGGCAGTGCCCACAGGTACCTACTACTCCTCTTTCTCTGCACTTGATGGTCACTTTGACCAGATTATGTCGGGACAGAGAGGCCAAAGACACTTAAGGAGGAGGGAAGGTTGGCACAGACCTCATTTTGACAAAGTGTCACTAATATTTCCACTGATGATGTTATCTCCAAATGTCATCACACAGATAGATTGCCAGGATAAGCTTAAGACATTTCCATATCACTTTGCAAAACTTGTATCTGCCGCCAGTCCACTCTGTCTTTGATATATATATATATATTTTTTAATTGTAAATTCTGTACCGTAAAGAGCTCAGTCACGCCGCACTTCATTTTTGAGTGTGCTAAAAGTGTTAACTTGTTACATTAAATGTGAATTCAACCAGGACAGAGATTTGGGGGAGTTTTGTCCTTTATTGTATCCCTCATTTGTAAAAAGTGGCGCATTGTAAGTGCTCAGCAAACATTTGCTGAGGAAGAAATGAAATGTAAACACTTTCCGTCGTTCACCCTCTTTGTAACCCTTGGCAGGCCTTCATAAAGAAATAAAAACTGGAAGCCTTGGGGCGCCTGGGTGGCTTAGTCGGTTAAGTGTCCGACTTTTGCTTAGGTCATGATCTCGCGGTTCGTGGGTTCGAGCCCCGCGTCGGGCTCTGTGCTGACTGCCAGCTCAGAGCCTGGAGCCTGTTTCAGTCTGTGACTCCCTCTCTCTCTGACCCTCCCCTGCTCATGCTGTCTCTCTCTGTCTCTCCTAGAAATTAAAAATAAATAAATAAATAAAGCGTTGGGCTCTGTGCTGACTGCCAGCTCAGAGCCTGGAGCCTGTTTCAGTCTGTGACTCCCTCTCTCTCTGACCCTCCCCTGCTCATGCTGTCTCTCTCTGTCTCTCCTAGAAATTAAAAATAAATAAATAAATAAATAAAAACTGGAAGCCTCAGGGAAAGGGAGGTGTCGGAGGGTCCCCATTGCTCTCAAAAAGCCTGACAGTGGGACATCACCGGTCATTGCTTAATTATCAGCTAATTAGGTTTTCAGCCTCGGGCAATGTTACTCTCCCCCTCTCCCAGCCCCCCCCTCCCCCATAAGACGTGGCTACAGGAATTCAGTGCCAGTAATCAGGGATGGTCAGAACCAGGAGAGCCCCAACCAAAAAATGCCACTGGCACCCGGCCAAGAAAGATGCCCTGGCTTGCCAGCTCCTAAGGGACCTGACCGTGTTTCCCAAATCTACACAGGGTCTGACACGCACTAGATGTTTCACGAACTTCAGTCAAGGAGACTGGAGGGACCAGGGGGCGGGGGGCGGTAGCAAGAAGAGAAGGTTGCTGAGAGGGTGAAGGCCTCCCTGGGCTTGAGAGAAACCCAGTCCCTTGCATCTTCAGATGCTCCCAGAATATTTTGAAAGAGGCGATGCCAACTTGGGATGCACTGAAAGCTTTCGGATGAAAAGAAAGATCCCTGAGCGCGGCCAGGAAAACCCCAGGATGGCTCCCCGGGCCAGGAGGCAGGGCCCGGCTGCCCCTCCGTGTCCCCCAGGGGGAAGTTCAGCAAGTTCAGGTCCCAGTGCGGGACCGCGAGCGAAGGCGGTCCCAGCCGGCCGGGACCCGCGCCCGCGACTCGCGGCGACCGGGAGAGCCGCCCACGTGGGCAGCGCGGCCGCATTTCCGCCGGGGCGGCGCTCCCACCGCCGGGCCGCGTCCCCCGCGCCGCCTCCGCGCGCCCACTAGGTGGCGCCTGCGCTCTAGTGGCCGCCTCCCGGGCGCAGGCGAAAGGCCCGGCGGAGCAGGGCGGCGGAGCGAACCCGAGCCCCAGGATTCCCGGGACCGGAGGGCAGCGCCGGCAGCCAAGGTAGGATTCCCGAGCCGCGGCGTTCCCCCCGCCCCCGAGCGTCTGAGGTCGGGGTGCGCAGCGCGGCGGCCGCGGAGCCCCGCGCGCGGGCTGCGCGGAGCAGCGGAGAAGTCGGCGCGGCCGCACGTGTTGTTGCCGAAGGGGACCCGGAGCCCCGCAGCCTCCAGGCCGGGCCTAGGGGCGGCGCGCAACAGCAGGTCGCTGGCGCGCGGACGGCCCCCCACCCCCACCCCCCGTGCCTCTGGCGACGGTACCCGAGGCCCCGAACGGCAAGTCCTAGGACGCGAAGAGTTCCCGCTGTCCAAGGCGACTTCGGCTTTGCAGCTGAGTGCGCATAGGATCCCAAGCGCCATTCTCAAACTTGGCCGCACACCGGGAGCTCCCGGGGAGCGTCCGGATGCCCCAGTTCCACCCCCAGGGACGCAGATGTAAGTGGGCTGCGTTGGGGCCTGGGCATTTGGAGGTTTGAAAGCTTTTCTGGAGGTTGCAAGTAGCAGCTAAGTTTGAGCACCCTCGATCCAAGGTTGGAGAAGACCCGAGGGCCTTTGTACATGCCGATTCTTCTTCTCCCCCCTCCCTCCTCCGGTTCCTCCTCCTCCTCCTCTTCCCTGCTTTTGAAGCAGGAAATATCGCCCCCTTTGAGCTGTCAACCCCAAGATACCAAACTGGCACCTCCCCCTCCCAATAGGATGGGTTCTGAAAGGGTTAAACAAAGAAGAGGAGCAGGGAACAGGAAGACACTGAATGCGGAATGTAAAAGAAGACTCACCAGGGAGTCTTCCTCTCTACCGGATCCCCTAGAAGTTCCGGGGCTGGCCGGAGGTGCCCCATCACTTTGGTGAATGTAGCTGAGCAGCAGAGTAAGGTCCCCTGTAACTAGTAATAATGATCCCTTGTATTTAGGTACCAGCAAAGTGGTTACCAGCGTGGGCTTGGGGCCCCCACAGCTGGCCCGTCCCTCAAGAATCCATGGAATCGCTTGTAGCCTCAGTTTGCTCATCTGCAAAATGGGTACCATAGTATAACCCACGTGGTCGCAGGAATTATTAACAATTAAAGATAGTGTTTACTACGGGCAGCCCTGTGCCTGGTGCTTGCCGGCTTTCTGTGCATTGGCACATCTGACTCCCCATCGTGGCCCACAGGGTAGGACTATAATTAACCCCCTATGATGATTGGAGAGGCTTGGCCTCGAAAAGGCCAAGGAACTTGCTCAGGGTTATGTAATTAAGAAGAGGTGCATCCCCGGGGAATCTGTCTCCAGGGCCCATGTGCGGAAGTAATCCGCTGTTTGCCTCACTGACAGCATGTGGACAAAACACTGTGCACAGGGCATCTCGTGGCACATTCCCCTTCAACAGCAGTTACCGCCGCTGCCAACAAAGCACTTTCACCGAATTGACTCGTCCGGTCATTCACAGTATATTTGTTATTGAGAGCCCACTGTGTGCCAGGCAGTTTCCCAGATTCGAGAGCTAAAGCAGCAAGAGGGAAGCCAAGTCTCTGTGAATTCACACTCCCGCTGAATTAGGGGAATGAGAGACAGTATCGCGGACCCTCGTTTGGTGCAGATTCTGTAGTTGCAAATCCCCCTATGCGCGGAAATGTATCCGTAGCCCTGAAATCCGTACCTCCAGCACGGTCGTGGTCACGCATGGCCCCGGGCAGAGGGGCAGAAAATTGGAGTTCCCAGCTGAGGTCAAAACAAGGTGACACTGTGCCCTCTGGTTTTAGCTGTCCTGCCTACACAGGTTCCCTTTCTGTGGTCTGTTTCGGGCTATGTTTTCTGCATTTTTGTGCCTTTTCTGTTAGTGATTTCTCTGTTTAAAATCGCCCCCAAGCATCATGCTCAAGTGCTGCCTAGTGCCCCTAAACACAAGAAAATTGTGAGGTGCCTTACGGAGAAAATGTGTATTATAATGATAAGCTTTGTTCAGGCATGAGCTGTCCTGGGTTTGGCCAAGTTCAATGTGAATGAATCAACAATATATATTAAATAAGGTGTCTTTAAAAAGAAACACACAGAGGGGCGCCTGGGTGGCTCAGTCGGTTAAAGCATCCGACTTTAGCTCAGGTCATGATCTTGCGGTGTGTGAGTTCGAGCCCCCGCGTCAGGCTCTGTGCTGACAGCTCAGAGCCTGCAGCCTGCTTCAGATTCTGTGTCTTTCCCTGTCTCCACCCTTCCCCTGCTCATGCTCTGTTTGTCTCAGTCTCTCGAAAATAAATAAATGTTAAAAAAAATAATGAAAAATACATTTAAAGAGAAACACATATAAAACAAGGTTAGGTATTGATCTTTTGATGAAAATGTGGCCAGAGGCTCACAGAAACCTAACTTCAGGGTTTTCCCTTGGGAACAGTGGTTCAGTATTTGCTGATTCCATATTCATGGCAACTTTACAGAACATAGCTGCTGCAAATAATGAGAATTGACTGCAGTTACACATTACTGCGCATGCAACAAAAGAATCAAGGTGGGGAGGCATACAGAAGGAGCCTGCCTTAGACTGTGTATCAGAAAGGTGAGAAGCAGCCAAGCGCAGGGTGGGATGAGCACAGAACTGTTTCAGGCAGGGAAAAAATAGCATGTGCAAAGGCCCAGAGGTAGTCAACTTGAGCTTGGCAAGGTCAGAGAACTCAAGGAAAGCCAGTGTGCAGGGAGTGTGGTGGGCAAAGAGAGCAGAAGTACCATAAGGAGAATATGCTGGAGACAGAGGCTGGGGCCTGGTGGCACCGTGTCTTGTGGGCAACTCTCATTTCATCCGATTAGCATAGTAATCCTGGTGGGCTGGGTAGGCTGGTTTCCAGCTCTGACAGATGATGAAATGGGTGCCCCATGCGGTTGAATACCTTGGCCAATCTTAACTTAAGCAACAAAACTGACCTGCAGCACCCCGTCTCAATCTGATGCTGAACAGACAGTTGAGTATTGATGAGAGATCTCCGGACGCAGCCCTGGGCTGGAGATTTGGTTTGGTTTGGGGAGGGATCACTAACCAAGTGGCTGCAGAAGCCGTCAAGCATGGATGAAACTACTCGGGACAGTGGGTGGAGTGTGGAGAAGAAAAATCCTCATGCCCTTTCAAAATAAAACTACTCCTGGTATAAAACCAGTAATGCCTCAGGGAAAGAGTCCCAGTTACCTGCAGGGGAAGAAGGTGGAGTGTGGGAAGGCACAGAGTTGTAGAAAAAGGCACTGTGAAGGTCTGACCCAAGCTACCCCCTCAATATTGGGTCCGGCACCGGGCCTCCCTATCTCTGCGGCAGCCAGGTCCAAATCTGCCTCTTGTCCCTGAAGGATGGTGATCTTGAACAGGGGTCAGCACGCTTTGTTTCTGTTTCTGTGAAGGGTCAGATAGGAAATACTCCACGCTTTGTGGATCACATGTTTTCGGTTGCAGATGCTCTCACCTATGTGGTTGTAGAGTAAGACAGCTGTGGAGGATATGGAAATGAATGAGTGTAACTGTGTTCCAATAAAACTTTATTCATGTACGCTGATATTTGGATCTCATAGGATTTTCATGGGTTGCAAAATGTTATCCTTATTTTGGTTTGTTAAAACCATTTGACAATGTGAAAACATCCTTAGCTCACAGTTGTACAGAAACAGGCAGTGGCTCATGGGCTGTAGTTTGCTGACTCTTTATCTAGAATCATGGGACCTAATGGTCCTAAGAATATTAAATGTTCATCTAGCTAAATCTTTCCCTGACCCATAAATCCCCATGGAGTGTTCTCAGCTATTTCTTGAGGTCCCCAATAACGTGGAATTTATTCATTGGGCACCCTATTCCAGGGTTAAAGTTTAAACTGTGCCATAGTTGGGGTTTCCCCAAAAGCAGATCATGAGACAAGGATTTGGGTGCCAGGACTTTATTTGGGAAGTGATGGCAGAAAACCCAGTGAGCTTGAAGTGGACCTGGGGAAGAGAGGAAAGCCACGTGGAAGAGAGGAAAGGATGTGTTGATAAGTGGGTTACCGCTGGGGCCCCGGCTCAGTCTCACTGGGGACCCTTTCAGAGATGGTGTGTCCCATGACGAGGCAAGGAAGCTGGGATATTTCCCTACCTTCCCGCTTCCACATACTGCCTGTGTCTATACCTGGTGCAGCCAGGAAAAGCCTCCAGGCAGGTAGAAGAGGCAGCCAGTGCAACGGTCTGCAGGTCTGCAGGTGACCTCTGGGGGGCGCTGACGAGTACAGAGGGGAGCTACACAGTGTTTCTGATTTGGGTCAAGTGTGCTGTGCATACCACTGGGGACCTTGTGAGATGATTTGGCGTGGAATAGAGTTGTGGCCCTAAAGAACATGAAGCCTCAGGCTAGGATAGATCTTCCCTTTTTAAACTGCCTCTTTGATCCTGCCCAACCGCTGTCTCTCCCCAGACCACACGGGTCTTAAACTTCCCCGAACTGGCCAGACTCTCCTGACTACGGTCAACAAAAGAAGTCTCAGTGTAGTACTCGACTGGCTCCCCTCTCTCTTTTTTTATGGAAAAGATGGCAGCCTGCAAATTCAGGTCGCTGAACAGGCAATCAAAGTTAGCTAACATTTCATAACATTGTTTTGTTTATTTTTATTTATTCTTTTTTTAATAGTTTATTGTCCAGTTGGTTTCCATATAACACCCAGTGCTCATCCCCACAAGTGAGTTGTTTATCTTTATAGTTTCCACCTCTACTTGGCAAGTTTTGGTCACTCTGCATTTACAGCAGTAACATAAAGTGTTTTCTTTAAAATAAATTTACATAGGGGGCACCTGGGTGGGACCATCTGTTAAGCTTCCGACTCGGTTTCGGCTCCAGTCATGATCTCATAGTTTCATCGGTTCGAGCCCCGCATCGGGCTCTGCACTGGCAGCGTGGAGCCTGCTTGGGATTCTCCTCTCTCCTTGTCCCTCCGCCATTCACACTGTTTCTGTCTCTCTCAGAATAAATCAACTTAAAAATTTTTTTTCAACTTAAAAATAAAATAAATTTACACAAATTTATTTCTACTTAAAAACATGAAAAATAGGATAGACAGTATGAGAATATGATAAAAATAATAGTGGCTGCTTATTGAGCATTTACTATGTGCTAGATGTTCTTTAAACCCTCTTCTTGTAATTTCATTACTCCTCTCCCCAGTCACATGGGTTAAGTATTATTTGAGGCAGGTACTATTATTAGCCGAGAAAACAGGCTCAGGAAAGTGAAGTAACTTGCCCAAAGTTATATAGGTAGTAAGTGACAGAGCTGGAAAATGAACCCCGGGAAAGTGAGCCCTGGTTGTCTTCCTCTACAGTTTGCATTCTTTTTTTTTTTTTTTAAATTTTTATTACATTTATTTTTTAGAGACAGAGAGAGGCAGAGCACAAGTGGGGGAGGGGCAGAGAGAGAAGGAGACACAGAATCCGAAGCAGGCTCCAGGCTCTGAGCTGTCAGCACAGAGCCCGACGCAGGGCTCGAACCCACGAACCCTGAGATCATGACCTGAGCCAAAGTCGGACGCTTAACCGACTGAGCCACCCAGGCGCCCCTACAGTTTGTGTTCTTAATTACAGAATCACACTGCTCTTCACAAATTTGACAAAAGGGAATAAAAAGAAAGTGAAGGTATTATTGGAATTATTGATAGTAGAGGAAATCTGCCGAAAAATTTTCCTCTTTCTTACCCACTTGGAATCTGTGTCCCTGAATCTGCGGGCCCTTGGTTGTCATACTTTCTTCTGGAGCCTCAGGGAACAAATCTGCCCCCTTTTCTTCGCTACAGCCCTTCAGATATTTGATAACGGGGAAACTGCCTGCCCTCTGGGATCTACCCTGTTCTGCGTTGAACACTGCCAGTTTCGCCGGCTTACACTCTACGCTGTGTTCTTGGCATCTTCCCCCCAAGCAAAGGACCTCTCTCTTCCTTATTCTTTTTTATCCCATGGAAATCATAAAGTTGCCTTTGGTGCCGTACTCTCTTCTTCAGGGCCCCCGCAGCTCACTCTGGGCTCAGCCTTGATAGCTGTGGTTGGGGTGATTGATGTGGCAAAGAGCAGCTAGATAGCGACGGCCAGGGAGAGACCATGGCTCAAAGAAAGCCCCCTTTGGGCCAGCTCGGAGGGGGCGCCGGACGCCGGTGGGGCTCACTCTTCCCGGGCCAGAGGTGGAGCTTTCTGGGTGCGCGTGGAGCTAATCAGGCTGGAAGAGACAGACTAACCGAATTCACGGGAGCCTGGTAAGGAAGCCAGACCACAAATATATTAAATCACAATGGGACAAGCACTGCGAGGCAGCCTGCGAACTCTGTGTCAGCTCGTCAGCACATTCCTTCCTCTGCAGGGAAGCCCGCCTGGGAAGCCGAGCTCCGGTTAGAAGACTGGTGTTCGCAGAACCACAACAAGGTGAGCAAGATGGATGACGTGAACGGCCAGGTCAGCCTACGGTATTCCTATCCTCCGAGGGATCCGGGGGTCCCCAGTGACGGCGCCGCTGATCTAAGCCCCCGTCCCTGTGCCCGTGGCAGACGTGCCTGAAATCAGCGACCAGCCTTTGCCTTCCTCCTGCTCCCTGGACCAGCCTTCAGATTCTATCAGGAGAGTATTCCAGGAAGCTCTGGCCGGCCCTCTGAGCTGCCTGGAATGTTCAGAAAGTTTCCAGAAATCCCACTGCTCTGAACAGCGTGGGAGATAGGACAGACTCTCAAAGACTTCTCTTTTGTCCCAGCTTTTCTGAGCTCCTCACACTCCCCTATTTCTGTCTACCTAATATTCCTTCGGCTTCTGTTATTACAGTCGGCCTTTTCTTCGCCCCCATTGTCAAGTCTTGATTTGATTTCCAGGCCTTGCTCTTCCTGCTTTGTCCAGAGGCACATCCTGTCCTGCGTTAAGAACTTCTGCAGATCGGTAATTACAGATACGGTGTGTGCACTCTGCGGACAGACTCTCCCCACATTTTGGGGTGACTTGCTGTGTACCTTCCAATAACAACCTCTTGCTACCGAGAAGCAGTTTCCTGGGATGCTGATTCCATTATAGAGTTGGCAGTGTCCCAGTTTTACACTGTTACTACTGGCCCCGAGGTAAGAAGGCTGCCGGAGAGGGAGCGGAGGGCGCCAAACCCAAGGGACCACTGTGTTTGCTGTTAGGAGAGCTGACGGTGCTGCTCTGAGAGTGTCCGGAGACCTGTGATTTTGGAGCGAGCTGCATTTGCCAGCTTTTAAAAACGTACATTCTGGACATGGCCTCTCCTCCCACCCTGCTGAAGAACCTGGACTCACCTATAAGGAAGCCAAGATGCATATGGAGAATCTGGGGCCCCTGGGGCCACCGAGGGAGGCCAGCTTGAGATCCTGGAGAGGAAGAGCGGTCCCTGCCCTCAGGGGCCGCCGGGCTGCCCAGCCTGAGAGGGGACATCAGTTCTCAGACGAGGAAGCCCGCCCGTCTGATGAGAGAGGCACCATCCCTAACCTCAGGGAGTCCAGTGGAGGAGGGGATACGGTATCCTTGGTGTGAACTATTCCCCCGACCCGGCAGATATCGCTGTATCTGCGGCTTCTCTGAAGTCCAGCCACAGGCGGGGAGTGGGGCCGGCTTCGTCACACCTCTGATACACGTGTGCGGAGGCCCAGCGGTTCTGAGGGTGAACCTGGGGACTTCTTAAAATAGATTTTATTTTTTTAGACCAGTTTAGCTTTACAGAAGAATTGAGATGATCGCATAGAGAGTTCTCACTTACCCCACACCCAGTTTCCCCTATTATTAAGATGAAAAAATGTGCTGTGGTACATTTGCTGTAACAAATGAACCAATATGAATACATTGTTAGTAACCAAAGTCCATAGTTGATTCTGATTTTTTTTTTTTTTGGTATTGGTTACTTTTATTTTTTTTAATAGTTTATTGTCAAGTTGGTTTCCATATAACACCCAGTGCTCATCCCCACAAGTGCCCGCCTCCATGCCCATCTCCCCCCTCCCCCCCCATCCATCAGTCCTCAGTTTGTTCTCAGTATTCAAGAGTCTCTCATGGTTTGCCTCCCTCCCTTTCCCCCACTATTTCCCCTTCTCCTCCCCCATGGTCCTCCGTTAAGTTCCTCCTAATCCTCCTATACGTGCAAACATATGGTATCTGTCCTTCTCTGCCTGACTTATTTCGCTCAGCATAACACCCTCAAGGTCC